GAAAAGAAAGTAGTAATTTTTTTCGAACGATTAGATTATTAATACTTATGAAAATATAAATGGTTTATTTATTATTAATTGAAAATATTTAGTACAAGCATTACGACCAAATAAAAATGAAAGTACAATACAAATTTTATCGAAACGAGATTGTTTTATTGATCAAAGATATTTAATTTTACATTAGTAAGAATATTTTTTTAGTTATTTATAGAATGTTTTGTTTCAGTTAAAAGCTTCAGAAATTCAAGTAAAATGTCCATATTTACATGAATTATTTTATGATAATGAATATGAAAGTACATTATGGATGTGTTTTGATACAAATAAACAATATTTAGGTGCAGGCGATGTTTTAAACGACGTAAGAAAAGAATTTTTATCAATTTTATTTTAATCTGTTATATTTAGTATTCATTAAAATTACAAAAGGGTGATTTTATCATTCGAATCAGTATTTGACATTATAAATATGATTTATTAGAACGTTTGATAAAAGATAATGGCGGAACTGGTTTATTTTTACATATTGAACATAAAGTCGAAAAATTACCAACACCAAAGTTTTATCATTCATTAAGTGCTTTACATACACAAAAGAAAAAAAAACTAGCATCATCTATTAAATTACAATGGGGCAACAAGTACTTATTTATATGACTACTGTACCAGAAGACAAGTTTGTTGAATTTTATTTTATTTTTAGATTTCCAAAAGTAATTAATTCAGTAGCAGGAACATTTCTACGTGGCACTTTGACATTTGCTAAAACTGAAAGAAATGGCTCGAATATTTTATTTGACAAAATAAATCAAATATTTTCTAGGAAATAAATACAATCTATCAATATTTTACTGAACTTTGTTCAACATCATCACATAGCGTTACTGATACTAATAAAAAACAAGTAAATTCACCTGTAATAACAACTGAAGAAGGTACAACAATTAATTCATCAAAAGAAGATCAACAATATCAAGAAGTATTAAAAATTTCTTGGTTACCAAAATAATTGAATTAGTTTCTTGATTGTTTTTCTTTATATTTAAATATAGATTAACTGATGATCAAGGAAAATTATATGAAGAATTAATATCTGAACAACAAGATTTAAATAAGTATGTTCTATTACATCTAGCTCGTCTTCATCAACAACAATCACACTTAACAAATGATAAAAAAGATGAAAAATGAAATGAAATTATTAAATTTATTCAAGATAAACTTTTAACTTTATTTAACGAAGATCTTATTTTAAAATTTTTTGATCAAAAAAATTCATCATCAACTGATAAAGAAAATTAACTCATTAAAATATATGAATCAATAATAATAAATAAACGAATCATTTTTTTCTTTTAGTGATATGAAAAAACATCGAAATTGGTTTATTGATATTTACATATCATTAGGAATATTATTATGTGATTTATCAGTAATTAATGATAAAACATCAATATATTTAACATATATTTTTAAAACTTTACAAAAACATATTGATATTAATGATGGAAAATTAACTAATTTACATTATAAATATAATTTAATGAAAAAATCTTATGATCGTGTTTGGAAACTACCTTTAAAACAAATTGAAGAAAA